GTGACCTTGTATGACCTCTCTACAATCAAGGTCATTATGTATTTAGTAACTGTTTATTAAGTACTTAAATTAGAGAGAGGTTTTCGGTCTCCTCACTCCACGTACTGAGAAACATTTAGAGAGATGAGAAACCTGACACACTGTATACGCCTCGTGTGACCTGGGCCTACAGTAGGGTGTCTGGAGGTTGCCACGACGGACGCCACCATTGTAACTCCCCCCTCTGGCTTCCCCGCCTCGCTTCCTCCCTCAAGAGTCCTTTACACACACACATACACACACACACTTCGTAGCCTGCAGGAGTCGACAGGAAAGTTATATATATTTTTTATAACTAGACCAACAGACTAAGGGACAATATAACAAGCACAGTATTAAGGCACTGTACTTGTACTACCTTAATTGAGTGAGTGTCCTTGCCAGCGAGGTAGGTGTGTGTGTGTGTGTGTGTGTGTGTGTGTGTGTGTGTGTGTGTGTGTGTGTGTGTGTGTGTGTATCGGGTCGGCTGGGTTTTTTGTCGTTACTAAAAGGAGATATAACACTTTACTGTGTCCCCTCTCCTCCTCCTCCTCCTCCTTCCTCCTCCTCCTCCTCCTCCTCCTCCTCCTCCGCAGGTACCATAGCTCTCATACACACAGGAAAAGGTTCACAGTAAATACAGGTTCACTCAGAGCCCAGGAATCACTGCTCGTTATGCTCGTCACGTTTACTCTGGTGTAAGGACAGAGGCAGATGGTGTTCCATTAAGCGAGGTCCACAAATCTTATTTTACTGATGTTTCTCTGACTGGGGTTTGTAGTGTGCACAGGGAGCGAGGGAGGATGTCAGGGAGTGTGCCAGGGAGTGTGCCAGGGAGTGTGTCAGGGAGTATGTCAGGGAGTGTGCCAGGGAGTGTGTCAGGGAGTGAGGTGCTTGTATCATACTGCGGCGCCATCCTCCCTCTGTGTAACCTGTGCGTCCGGAGTTACGGTGCCACGTCTTGAATGTAAAGTGGCATCCACACTCACGCCTTCCCCAGGGCCACCTACTGCCCCGGCCAGGGACCCTAGGGCAGCCACACCACAAAGACGGGTCCATCTTTGTTAGATATTCTCAACCACAGGACACCAGGAGCAACGTAACCCTAGGATCCGGGAGCTCGTGCCACCTCCTGCTAGGGATCTTTTAACTCAAGGACTGCAGGACCAACGTAGCCCAGTGGGGTAGTGTGGAGGCAGCGGCGCCACCCTCAGCACCATGGTTGAGGGGAATATGTAAATGTGCAGTTTTGTGTTGCGAGACCCACATCCCTCTGCGTGTGTGTGTGTGTGTGTGTGTGTGTGTGTGTGTGTGTGTGTACCGCCACCGCCGCAGACAGCCACACCTCCCCATCTGCCGGATCGCTCGCCAGATTGTAACTTCTCCGCCTGGGTTTATGTACCGAGTGTTCCCGCCTCTACCACTAGCCGCACCCTGAGCTTTACTACTCTCCCTTGAGGATCTTGAGGATGTTAGCTGAAGATGTGATTTAACTACAGGTCGTCTGGTTCATCCCCTGGGCCTCGGGAGTAGGTCAGGGGGTGTGTGTAGTGTCGTCGCCTTGGGTGTAATTCAAGGAGACGTGATGTACCCACAGCTGGTGCTCAGGTGTAGGTGAAGGCTGTGGAAAGGTTATTTCTATACAGGTGTTTAGGTGAAGGTGTATTGTGGGTGTAAAGGTATTCAGATATAGGTGAAAGTGTGGTGTAATGTGTAGCTGCTTTGATATACCCAAGGTGTAGTTGAGAGGGGGGCTTATCTACCTACAGGTGTTGTGGTGTAGCCCGAGGTGTGACTTTTGTACACCTGTGTTATGGTTCGAGGTGCAGTGCTGCGGCAGGTGTTAATTTTATTGTCCCCCCCCTCCCTCCCCAAGGACTTAGCTGGTAAGAGGGGGTGTAGGGAATGGTGTGTGTGTGTGTGTGTGGTGTAGGGATTGGTGTGTGTATGTGTGTGTGTGTGTTAACTTAAGTCTGCATGTACGTCAACAATGATAAATTACAGGTCCACACGCCAATGTGTCTTCAGTACGTCAAATGGATCACGTAATGAGATTGTAGCGCTTCCAGCAGAGTTTTTTTTTTCCGTCTGGTTGCATTAATTGTCTCCCAAACTGAGGGACACGACAATGCCTAGTACACAGCAATGTTTAATACGCCTCTCATGTATATAATAGCTACATAATAAAGGGGGGGGGGGTGTATTGTAGCGTGTTCTTTTACGCATTTACGCATATTGAAAGTTGGATTGATATTTTTCTACGCGTGATTAGTATGAGTGACGTATTGAAGGGATATACAGAAGTCACCATACACGCCATATACACATAATTTATACTCACAATACACACACAATTCATACACACCATACAGACAGAATTTTCCCTCACGACTCTGCTGATACAACTTAAACCATGAGACACGAGTGAAGTTTTGCTCTTGAATACTCGGTGTGTTGAGAGTGCGGGTCATTAGAGTGTGTGTTCCTTTTACTCTCACTCACTGTTTCTCACTCACTCACTCGCTCTCACTCTTTCTCACTCTCATTCTCCCTCACTCATTTTCTCAACTTTTCCTCTCAATTCACTCGCTTTCATTTTACCTCTTATTCTTCCACTCTGACTACCACTTACTTTTACTCACTTTCACTCAGTGTCTCTCTCTCACTCTCTTCCCTCCCTTCATCCAACTTCCGTGTGTGTGTGTGTGTGTGTGTGTGTGTGTGTGTGTGTGTGTGTGTGTGTTTTTACGGGGATCAGCCCACCCGGACACAGGTCACTGACCCACATCGGGGCCTGGGGGGCGAAAATGTAATAATAATAATAATAATAATAATAATAATAATAATAATAATAATAATAATAATAATAATAATAATAATTCATAATAAATAAAATTTATGATAAAACAAACAAAAATAAAATAATAAAATAATGATGATAATAATACAGTAACTGTAATAATAATAATAATTTTAATAATAAAGAACTATAAATACAAAAATGAAAAAAAGATCAAAAGTGAGAAACGATATATGTATGTTGTGTTGTCAATGGTAAGAGAAACAATTGAGACCCTGCAATTGTGTGTAAATGAAGCAGAAAGTCAGATGAGCAACCTGGGACTTGGTCACAATTTTCGTGATGCCATATGGCAGCAGGGTCTACCATTAGACAACACATTATGCTTCCAATATCTTCCCAGGCAGTAGTACCTCCCTGTTTGGTAGCTGCCTACTACCTGTGTGTGTGTGTGTGTGTGTGTGTGTGTGTGTGTGTGTGTGTGTGTGTCCTCTGATAATCTTAGACGAGTGTTCCTCCAGCCAAGATGTAGTGTACCCAACTCTTGTGTGTTTTAGCACCTCTTATCTCTCGACATTTCCTCGTTCAATAATTCTTTCTCTCTCTCTTCATCAATTTAATATTTCCTTCCTTCGTGTTTTTATTTTTATATTAAATATTCATATTTCTTTCACTATTTCGTATCTGTTTCTATAAGGTGAATTAGGTCAATGTTTTATCACCTGAGGAATGTGTCCCCAAGCAACCTGAGAGAGTAGTACAGGTATCACGAATCATTTATGTATTTTAGCCCTTAACTCCATAACATAAGGAAGAGGGTCAGTGGTGGTTATGGAACTGAAGTGAGGTTGGGTTAGGTCATGTCCACAAACTACCCAGAGAGAATTAGGTTAAGACTGTTTACGCTTGATTTACGTGACAGAAAGACGGAAGTGATATAATAACCTTGTTCTTGGTAGTTTTCCAACATGTGTGTGTGTGTTACCTGAGCGTCTGCCTAATGTAATGTTAAAAAATAAAACGACGTCACATGGGAACTAAAGAAGGGATCTGATGGGCTTAAAAGGTGAAAGGAACCTGATTGGCTTAAAAAGTGAAAGGAACCTGATTGTCTTAAAAAGTGAAAGGAACCTGATTGGCTTAAAAAATGAAAGGAATCTGATTGGCTTAAAAAATGAAAGGAATCTGATTGGCTTAAAAAGTGAAACGAAGCTATTATCATTGCTTTAAGTATAGATGTTTAAACCTTAGTAACGTGGGGAGGGGGGCTATGTTAAATGACCTTCTTGCTCTCAAAGACGTGGGAGAAAGTTCTTGGTATTAAAAGACGTAAAGTCTCTCTCTCTCTCTCTCTCTCTCTCTCTCTCTCTCTCTCTCTCTCTCTCTCTCTCTCTCTCTCATTAAAGACAGTTATATATTGAACTTTAAAAACAAAACGATAATAAACCAAACACATCAACACTATTTTTTTCCCTTCTTTTTTTTTTCCTCATTATTTTTTCCCCTTAGATATATTGTTATTTGTAAAGACGACAAGAGAGAGAGAGAGAGTTGTGTGTGTGTGTTCAGCTAAATAAAAGCTAAAAGGTAAGAGAGAAAGCTTGCTGGTTTTTTTTTAGCTGTTTTTTATGAGGCTATTGTGTTTTGACGGCACCCAGGCCAGGTTAGTCAGGGGAAAACATGTGTTGAAGCTGGGTGGAAAAAAGTATATGTTATAAAAAAAAAGTATTTACGTAAAAATTTGAAACGAGAAAATAGTTTATCTTAAAAAAAGTCCGGTTATATATATTTTTTTTTACTTTTATTTATTTATTAATTTATTTATTTTATTTTTTATCTATATTCATTTATTTTATTTTATTACTTAGTCGTTTCTTTCTTAGTCTGAGGATTTTGTTTTTGTTTTCGGAAGAAGAACAAGACTTTTTCATTATGTTCAAGAAAATAAAAGTCTAAGATCTAAAAAAAAAAAAACCAGTTTATTTCTTTTTTCTTATTCTCGTATTTTTCTGAATGTATTCCAATTATTATCTTGTGTTTTAAAGTGTCCAATTTTTCATCCATATTCAGACGAAATGAAGTTTGCTGACGAGAGAGAAAAAATACCTAACCTAACCTAACCGTTGGCAGACTTTTCGTAATTCATGTCAGGTCTCACTCATGGCAGAACTTTCCTAATATCATGGCAGACCTTCTTCACACCTGGCAGACCTCCTCACACCTGGCAGACCTCCTCATACCTGGCAGACCTCCTCATACCTGGCAGACCTCACACATGGCAGACCTCCCCACACATGGCAGACCTCCCCACACATGGCAGACCTCTCACACCTGGCAGACTCCCCACACCTGGCAGACCTCCTCACACATGGAAGACCTCCCACACATGGCAGACCTCCTCCACACATGGAAGACCTCACACCTGGCAGACCTTCTCACACCTGGCAGACCTCCTCACACCTGCAGACTCCCCACACCTGGCAGACTCCACACCTGGCAGGCTCTCACACCTGGCAGGCCTCTCACACATGGCAGACCTCCCCACACCTGGCAGACCTCCCACACTTGGCAGACCTCCCCACACCTGGCAGACCTCCCCACACCTGGCAGACCTCCTTACACCTGGCAGACCTCCTCACATACCTGGCAGACATCCTCACACCTGGCAGACATCCCCACACCTGGCAGACCTCTACACATGGCAGACCTCTCACATGGCAGACCTCACACCTGGCAGACTCACACATGGAAGACCTCCTCACACCTGGCAGACCTTTCACACCTGGCAGACCTCCTCACACTTGGCAGACCTCCTCACACCTGGCAGACCTCCCCACACCTGGCAGGCACCTCCTCACACCTGGCAGACCTCCTCACACCTGGTAGACTCCTCATACCTGGCAGACACCACACCTGGCAGACATCCACACCTGGCAGACCTTTACACCTGGCAGACCTCCTCATACCTGGCAGACATCCTCATACCTGGCAGACTCCCTCATACCTGGCAGACCTCCCTCACACATGGCAGACCTCCTCACACAGACCTCCCCACACATGGCAGACCTCCCCACACCTGGCAGACCTCCTCACACATGGAAGACCTCTCACACCTGGCAGACCTTCTCACACCTGGCAGACCTCCTCACACTTGGGAGACCTCCCACACCTGGCAGACCTCCCCACACCTGGCAGACCACACCTGGCAGACTTCCTCACACCTGGTAGACCTCCCTCACACCTGGCAGACCTCCTCACACCTGGCAGACTCCCCACCTGGCAGACCCTCCTCACACCTGGTAGACCTCCCCACACCTGGCAGACCTCCACACCTGGCAGACCTCACACCTGGCAGGCCTCCCCACACCTGGCAGGCCTCCCCACACATGGCAGACCTCACACCTGGCAGAGACCCCCACACTTGAGAGACCTCCCCACACCTGGCAGACCTCCTCACACCTGGCAGACCTCCACACCTGGCAGACCTCCCAGCACACCACATCCCCACACCTGGCAGACATCCTCACACCTGGCAGACCTTACACTTGGCAGACCTCCTCATCCCTGGCAGACATCCTCACACCTGGCAGACCTCCACTTGGCAGACCTCCTCACACCTGGCAGACCTCCCCACACCTGGCAGACCTCCCCACCTGGCAGACCTCCATACTAGGGCAGACACTCACCTGGCAGACATCCTCACACCTGGCAGACCTCCTACACCTGGCAGACCTCTACACCTGGCAGACATCCTCACATTTCATAAGACCTCCTCACACACTTGGCAGACCTCTCGTAAGACAGTGAGGTAGGTGGGGGGGGCAGGTGGTTGTGACTTCTTTTAAGGCATAAACTGTGAAGAACTCAAACCAGCTGGGTGTGTGTGTGTGTGTGTGTGTGTGTGTGTGTGTGTGTGTGTGTGTGTGTGTGTGTGTGTGTGTGTGTGGGTCTGTGTGTGAAGGCGGAGAATGAGAATTGAGGAGGTGTCAAGTGTATGTGTGACAGAACGAGGAAGGAAGAATGTTGGAGGAGGATTAGAGAAAAAGTGTGTGAGAGAGAGAGAGAGAGAGAGAGAGAGAGAGAGAGAGAGAGAATACATGAGTGTGAGAGAAGTATATAAGGTTAAACAGTGATAATAGTATGACAACAGTGTGAAAGTGAGAAGAATGGTAAGTCACAATGACATCAGTGTGAGGGGCGTGAGTAATATGACATCAATGTAAAGGGGCGTGGTAGAGCCTTCCTCCCTCCCCTTACGGCGCCATTCTATACCTAGGTTCTTTCTTATCTTGTCCCAGCCAGGAGAACAATGATCTATTTTCACTTAGCTGACGTCGAGGTCCCCCTCCTCTCTCTACCCACACACACCTCACACTCACCCCCACCCCAACCCCAGCCATCTCCCCAATTCACCCCCGTTATCCCTACTCATCTCTACCCCACCCCCCCAACCATCTCAAGCGTTCACCTCCAGCGTTAGCGTTGATTATGGTGCATCACAATGTCTAATATTCACTTCCACGCTAAGGTTAGGTGATTCGAGTCTGCCTTGGCGTTGATTCAGCGTTCATCCTGACGCTTAATGATTCAGTTCGACGTTGCTTGGATGATTCACCTCTATCGTTGGTTCAGCGTACACACTCAGGTTTAAAGAGTTTTCCAGTGTTCAAGCAGGTGGTCAGGTACAGAGCTGGTGTGTTGTGATTAATTACTTTGTTATTATTTTTTTAGATTGTTTTATATGAAAGCTAATTATGTTTTTTGTCGTTATTTTTTTGGGGGGTTGTGTGTTTGTGACGTGTGTTTTGTGTGTGTGTGTGTGTGTGTATATGTGTGTGTGTGTGTGTGTGTGTGTGTGTGTGTGTGTGTGTGTGTGTAATAATAATAATAATAATAATAATTAACGGTTTATTGAAAATAGAAGGCTGAAAATATACAGTTACATAATTGGAATGGGTTTCTATTTTACAAATAATATACAATATAAGTGATACAAATAAGATATATAATAACTAGATGGGGAAAAGCTCAAACTACAGTTCATTTCAACATAGTGACAATGCAAGAAGTAGGATTTACTGACAGTGAATACACTGGTTTATTACAAGTTATTGATAATTTTACAATGGTTGGGACTTGTTCTTATAGAGGTCGAAGTTCGCACGTATGGGCTGGATGCGGTTGTGGTGTCGAACAGCAATTCTCGGCGAGGGATCTCAGGTGGTAGTAGGAGCTGGTGTTGTCGAGGATGGTGCAAGAAGCCTACCAAGTTTGCAGATGAGGTCGTGGTGATGGTCAGTGAGAGCCGAAAGGGTCAGTGTGTTGAGCGCTTGGATATGTGGAGTAGGAAGGAGAGAATAATCTTGCATGCCCTCTTTTTGCACTTTTTCTAGGTGTTTACGTTGTGTGGCATTAGGGAGTGAAGACCAGGTGGGGGAGGCATAGGTGAGCTTGGGAAGTATGAATGTTGTGTAAACACTGAGGAGCCTGTGTGCAGGAACTCTGAGGACTTGAGTCGGCGGAGAGGTGAGACGGAAACTGAGGATTTGACAACTTCACTGATGTGGTTTCCAATTTAGTTTGTTGTCTATGGTAACGCCGAGGAGCTTACTGAATCTACAACCTGGAGTGTGTTGGAATCCTCAGTAATGGTAGGGGTGACAACGTCGGAGGTTGATGTGCATAACCATGGTCTTGGTGTGTGTGTGTGTGTGCGCGTGTGTGTGTGTGCGTTTACGTGTGCGTGGTTGTTTGTTTGCTCGTGGGGATATGTGTGTGTGTTTATGTGCTCGTGTGTGTGTGTGTGTGTGTGTTTACGAGCCTGATTGTTTACAAGCGTACCATCTATGCAAGCCAATAATATCTCACCAGGAGAGGATGCAAACACCCATTATTTGTTTAGCAATACGTAACTGAACGAAGTACAACAG